GGGGGGCTGCGAGGGCAGGATCAGCCCCCGGGCACTTCAGCCCCCAAAGACCCTGAGCCGGGTTTGGCCTGCCTTGAAACGAGTGGTGGGGCTGCTGACCCCCTGTGCCATAAGGCTAGTGGGCTGCAGGAATTGGGGTCCCTGGGGAAGGAGGGGCAAGGGGGGGTCTCCTTCCCCACAGCTACAGGGGATCCTATTCTGAAGGTTCAGATTAAATTCAGGTGAGGGCAGGAAGGCTGGGGGGGGGCGGGCCAGGTTTGCCAGGTGGGCTCTGCCCCTTGGGGCTCCCACAGGCTGTTTGGGGGTGAAAGGCTCTGGATGGGGCTAGGGGGGCACAGGGAACCGAGTTCGTGCCATTAAATCCCACTGGAAGGCCTTAAGGTGCCCCATCTGCCTAAGACCCCGCCTTCCAGGGGTCTTCAGATAAACAGGGGGAGCCCTTGTGTTCCTCCAAGCCCTCGGAAGGCCCACCATAAACACGTCTTTCATTGCAGATGTTTGGAAGTGTAACTGAGATTGTGCTGGGCTTAATTCTTGCTTTTCCTCCCCATCAGCTGGATGTTGGCAGTGATGAAGAACGCAGACTCAACCTAAGGTAGGCAGGAACTGTTCCCCCACTCGCTGTAGAGTTTTTCACCCGCCTGGCACCCTTCAGGAAACGGCAGAGTGTGGCACGCAGGGGTTGCTAGTCATTGTCACCTCTTCCCTGTAAACTTTGGGGTGCTGTTCAAACACAGCCGTGGAGTTCTCAGATAACTGCCTTAGCTCACTTTCAGACATGCAAGAATACATTGAGATGCTGGATTAACACTCCCTGTGTGTCAAATTCTGTGCTAAAACCGCATGCCCGGAGTCTGTGGGTCTGCTGGCAGGAAATGTCATGCGGGGGGGGGGGGGGAATAGCATTTTCAGAAGAACAATCAAGATCCTTTTTCACCTTCCTGGGTTTTGGGGGTACAATTTCAACCCTGTTGGCTATTCAGTACTATTTTTACAGTCTCAGTTTGTCTGTGATACTGAGGCTGTTATAGCCTGTATATAATTGCAATGGTTTTTTATTCATTCTTTAAAAACTGCCCCAAAGTGGAACAGAGTTGACAGCATAAAAGGACTTGAGGCAAATTCCCATGAGAGGAAAGCAGGTGAATTCAGAGCTCCGACGTTCCTTACAACCGGGCTATCCAAGTGGCTAAACTACCATCTTGTAGACAGCTGCAGCCTTGGGGAGGGGGTGCCAACATTGCCCCCAGGCAGGGAGTCCTGTCTACTCAGCACCCTTACCTGCTGACCACCGTTCAAAGATCAGTTGACCAAACCAGGCATCTTTGCCAGGGGGAAGGGATAGGAGAGCATATTGGCAATGGCTGCCGACCGGGGGTGCCAGCCAGGTGGCATCTGTGCCACCATGGAGCCCGTAGAAGCCTTCCGTCCATCAGCTCAGTGGTAGGAACGGTGGGGTCCTGCCTGGTGAAGCTGCAATGCTGGCCGGGGTCTTACTCCAAAGGGCAAATGATGTGTTGTTGTCCCTTTTGGTCTGTTGGGGGCGCTCCCCTTCCACCTCTGCCAGCCGGTCTGGGGTTTGCGTCACACAGTTTTCTCCAGATTTTTGCAGGGACCGAAGTGACCCTGGGAGGCCTGGGAGGTTTCTGGCAAGCAGCCAAACTGACCCATCAGGAGGGTCTTTGCAAACTGGTCCTACAACCCACCGCTCCAGTTGCAGGTCCAAAAGCGCATCGCTCTCCCGGGATATGAAATGGGAGAATAATCTGCCCGTTGTCCGTAAGTGCTGGTTACTTGGCCCCATCCAGAGTGGCAAGGCTTATCCTAAGCAAGGAGTAAAACTGCAAGAAGCAGGATCAAAATAACGTCCAAGGACGCCATCGGTCCTCAGAAGCAGGAAGTTAAACTGCAAAGAAGGGTTCCTGCGGGGGGGGGTAACGGGCCGGGTCGAAACAAACACCAGAACTGGGGCTCGCACTCTATAAAGGATGGGTGTACAACGGGGGACCAAAGACTCCCGAAGGGACGACACAACGGTCGACCAAGGGGCCGGTGGCAGAGGGACCGGGTGGCTCCACGGAGGAACAACACCACTTCGGTGTCAGGACGTTGGACCGGTCCTACAGACTCAGCATCCTGTTTTTGAAACCGTGGGTAGCGTCAGCAGCTTCCACCTCCAGCAGGGTCCCTTGCTGGCTTCTCCGACTGGACGATATCCTCTTGGAGCCTCTGGAGTGACCGTGCGGGACCCCCAGCCCGTCTTCAGGTTCCCCCTTGAGGGACGTCCAGCAGCCCCCCTGCGGCAGGCCCTCCTTCCCCTCCAAGCCGCTGGGGAGACCGGCCTGCACTTGCCTTCCGGAGAGTGAAGGCTGCACCACCAGGAGACCGAAGGCTAATCTGCAAAAAGAAAATGTTGGGCGCTTCCTCTTCTGGTGGTTCGTCCCATTGTGCGAATTCTCCAATCTGCATCCTGTTTTCAGAGGGAGCTTAATCAGGATTGTAGCAACCTCTTAGGGTGGTGGGTGGGCTGCGAAGGCCTAGGCTGACTGAGGGTGGGTGGGCTTCTCCCCCAGACCTCCTTGCCTGGGCTGGGCAGGGGCAGGGGGACCAGCCACTCAAACCAGCTCAGGAAAAGGCAGAAAGGCCAGTCCTGGAGGTCATGTCAGAAGTCAGCCCTGCCCCCTGTTGCTGAACTGGGTTGCAAGGGACTACTCTAGCACCCATCAGCCAGGGCAAACTTCGCTGATGCTCCCATTGGTGGGGCAGAAGGAGAAGGATCCCAATTCCAGACCCCTCGGGGCTTTAGAGAGCCAGACTTGGAATTAGGCACTGATGTCCTTGGGACACTCAGCCGGTTCGGAAGCCAAAAGCATAAGTGTGGAGGTCAGCTCGCTCGTGTCCGTATTTCATGGCACAGTCTCTGCTGGGGGGGGGGGGAGGCTGGCTCTCCCCTCCCGCTCGCATTTGTTATCGGCAAGGCTTTTATCCGGTGGATTGTGCCCGCCTTCACTTAAATCGGAGTTCTTGCTTGCATTGCAATGACCCTCCTGGAAAATAAGTCCTTTGTGTTTCTCCCAAGCCTGTTGCACGATGGGAAATGGGGGATTAAAACCCCCCTCGCCCGTCCCCTGGACTGGTCCCACCACAGCAGCCTCCCTCTGCTCAGTCCTCTCAGCAGGCCTGACCCCACAATTACTATAATTGTGATAAAGTGGGTTCCAAGATCCCCAGGCCTGCATCGCCCGCCACTTACTTCTGCTGAGAAATTTGAGGGTTCCTCGAAAGATTTCTTCTCTCTTCCTCCCCCCCCCAGCCTTACCCCCGAAGAGATTTTGCACCAGCGCTGCGAGTGACCTGTGGTCTCTGGAAACGCGGCTTGGAATGTCTGGCAGCCCAGGCGCCCACGCCTCTGCAGCCACACAATGGCCCCTCACAAAGAGCTTTTGTTGGTGCAGCTCTGCAGGCCCGGGAGCGAAGCTTTCCAGCCTCAGAGCTCACGCCGTCTTCGGTCCTTTCGGCCCTTCGCCAAGAGGCAGGGTGGGGGTTGGGTTCCCCCTGGGTCCAACGAGATGATGCCTCCAGAACAGGAGCAGAAGACCCAGCCGCTCTGCTCCTCAGTGCCCCTCGGCCTGGCTCCAAGCATCCTTGGGTGGACAGCCAAAGGCGGGACCCTCCCAGGGCTAAAAGTAGTTCCTGAGCCCGTCCGGTTGACCCACTTCTGGAAAAGCCAAGCGGGTCCCTTTCAGAGGTGAGCCTCAGACAGAGATCTTCCCTTTCTGGAGAGGTGTCCCCTCCAAACAGGGCGGTTTTCTTTCCCTCACATAAACCGTGGCCATCCACCAATTCTTCCTTATTGATTTATTCATTGTTGACAGTCCTTGTGCCAGACCCTTGGGGCTCAGTGTGGACACGGTGCTGTAGCTGAAGCCGAGAGGTCTGTCCTTGCAGTGTCAGGATCTTGAGTCTTAGAAATGCCACCTTGAAAACGCTGTTTTTTCTTTGGGAATACAGAATTTTGGAAGGCCTCAAAGCTGGCCAGGGTCTCGGCACTGAAAGTTGACGATAGTGCCCCAGTTAGGTGTGGCTTTCCATGCTTCCTCAGCTGGGAAGGAGGCCCTGTGAGCCCTCCAGGGCTGGAGACCTCTCTCCAAACAGCTGAGGGGCAGGAGAGGGCTTTGCACATCTCCACACTAGTCTGAAATGGATTGAGAGAAGTAGAACTAGTACGTGAGAGAATCTCAGAGGGTCCCAAAGCATTTTAGGTGCCCCGTTCTCCATTCTCTTCCCTCCTTCCTGAACGTTTCCATAGATAGAAATCTATGCACGGCCTTAATATTACCCGGGGGCAAACGCTCCATCACACTCTGCGTTCCATCTCAGTAGCATTGGTGCAAACTTGTTCGCTACTCCTTGTACTAGGACTACAACACCCAGAACCCACAGCCAGACTGTTGGGGAGTGGTAGCACATCTGGGGGACATCTGCTGGTTTAGGCTGCTTTAGCTTTTCTGTTTTGCAAGTGGCTGAGATGGCCTGTTTCGCATGTCCCCTCCTTTTCCTGGTGGCCAGCCTTGGCCACCAGACGGTCAGAAGGGGAGGTGGCCAGACCCCAGAATGGCTCCCAGTTTTTGGAGGGAGGGGTTCAGGGAGGAGGAGGAGGGTTGGGAGGAGCAAAACCTGCTTTGGGGGGTCTCAATTTCTCCTCCCACACCAGCATGTGAAATGAAGATGGTCCACTGCTAAACTTTTGGTTGGACAGTGGTGAGTTCAAACTGAACAATTCATGACCCAGATTTCACCCCTGGGCCCTTCTGAGACACTGGGAGCAGCTGCCATCCTCGTCGCCAGTGCATGGAGCTCAGGAGATCTAGGAAGGCTTTTATTTTCCATGGAAAAGTCTTGTATAATAGCTGGTTCCAAGCTGTCTCGTCTCCATCTGTCTGCTTCTCAAATGCTGCCCGCTGAAATTGGACCCTAATCCGATTCCCCAGGATGGTCTTACTCTCCCAGGACCTCATGCGAGTCCTGATGTGGGCGGTGAGGAAGGCCAGCCCTTCGTCCATCAGGCTGGCCCCCTTGACTCTCCCAAGGTCAGCCAAGAGGATCTGTCCAGCCAATGAAGCAAAGGACTTCAGCGGCTGCGAACGAGCAAAGGCGGTGGGAGGGGAGGGCTCTCACGAGCATTGCCCAGGCCCCCTTTCCTCCTGAAAGCCTTCTTTCATCAGGGTGGACGAGGGCAGGTCCTCGCTCGTGCTTGGGGCCGAGATACCGTGGGGGGCAGGGGGCAGGGCTCCGTAAAAGCCACCCATTCCCAAGTGACGTGGCGATTCCTCCCTCCTTCGCGCAGAAGGATCGGTTGGCTTTTTAATTCCCACCAAGAAATGTCAAGAACCTCTCAGCACGATGACTTGAAGACTCGGTTATGAACCTATCTGATTTTGCTACCTTCTGCCTGTCCTTTGGGGCCACACGATGTTTCGGCTGCTTAAAGAAACCCCATCCGAAGCCGTACGTATCCCGCGCCCTTCTTGCTCCTACAGCTCCTGCAGCTTGGCTAGCGTCCGAGACCTTCAGAAGGTCTTGAGGCCTCCTCCTTGGGGGTGAGCTGTGTTTTCCCACATGAGCCTCACCTGAGCTGGTGGGAATTCAGCTGCGGAAACGGCTGTTTCTTGGGCAGCAGTTTACAAACCGACCGAGATGTAGAACTCTTTGAGGTTTGGAGCTGTGATATAGAAACCAAGCTGGCTTTTAATGGTTGTTTCTCTTTATTGGGCTTAAGGCCAAATGGGTGGCTGGACTCCTGTTATGGAGAGGATCCTGTGGTTGATTGCTGAGGTCACCCCTGAAGGACGGGGAGTGGGTGTCCCCCCCCTTTTTTTTTACATTTCTTGTTGCTAACAGATTCCTTGACAAATCCTTTGTCCTGTTTGTTGAATACTCGGCCACAGAAGGGAGCTGTGGGAGTGGGCTTTCCTTTGCTTGAGCTGGTGGCTGTGGGATGATCTCACTTCAGCCTGATTGTGCCGTGGTCAAGATTATGGGCAGTTAGTCATCCCTCTCCCTTGGATCACAAACAGGAATTGTGTGTAGTTGGTCTCCGAGGGGCAGGAAATGCCGGGAAAGGTGTCCTGTCAGACTTCGCAAGCCCTTTGCGTGTTTTCTCGGACCTCACATCAGTGTCGCCCATTGCACGCTGGCCCCGAAGTCCATTCTGACTTTTTTCAGCCTGGGGCTGTGAATAAAGTCATGTTTGACATTTGAGGTTCAGGACTGTTAATCAGATAAAAGGCTTGGTCCACTAGCAGCCCAGCTTTGATTTTATTGCCCGGTGAAATGTAGACTTGATGGGATCTTGCACAGATTCAGTGGGTCACATCCCCAGGTAGGAGTAGCAGCTTCTCGGGGGGAGGGTTGAGTGAGCGAGACCCTTTCTGCAGCCCACGCTGCACGTGTTTAATCAGGTGAGTGCGGCTGTCCTCCTTTGCTAGTACAGGTAGTCCTTGACTTATGGCCACGGTTGACCCCCAAAATTCTGTTCTTAAGGCTTATTGCTAGACTGGGCTCCAAATATGATAGACTGATCATATCTGAATGAAAGTCAAAATCCAGACACTCGTGCAGGCTGGGGAATTCTGGCAGTTAAAGTTCTCAAGTCTTAAAAGTTGCTAAGCTTGGACACCCCTGCTTTAAAGAATTGGGGGCCTGGACAAATACCCTCCAAATTATTCTTTGTTGCTATCAGTCTGCGTTAGTTGGGGCCAGTTTCCTGTCCGGGGCTAAAACCGTGTTTACATACCCTTTAAAAGGCCAAATTGCTCACTCGCCTGCAGCTTTTCTGGGGACAGCCTTAGAAAACACGCGGAAGAACCCCATTCTCCTGAAAGTCCAAATCCTGCCTGTGGGGCTGCTTTGGCAAATGTTTCTAGTGAATTCTCCAGGTTGGATGCAACTTCTTCCCGCCTTCAAGCCCAATCTAGAAGGCTCTTTATAAATTCCCATGGCGCTGAACGTGCTGAGAGGGATAAACAATTTAAAAAATCATATTAAGAAGTAATCTCCCTCGTGGAATCTGACAGCCCAGGGTCATTACACAATTCTATGGGAAGGCCGTTATCTTTTTCCTCCAAAACTCTTGTAGGCACACCTCCCGAAGCAGACCAACATCTAGCCCCGGTGGAAAATTACGCTGTCTGCTTCTGACGGGAACCCAGATGCCTTTCTGAAATCGTTTGCTAGCAGTGAAGCCTCCTCATCCCCCTCTGACAAGCAGTTAGTCATTTGCTCAGAGCTTGGCTTGGTGCCGGAGGCTTTTGGCTCCGGAACAAGGCCTGCAGTGTGTGGAAGTGATCAGGCACAATCCTTTGGTCCCACTAATTGTGTCCTAACATTAGCAGAACCGCTGAAAAGATGAGCCACCGGCTCTTTGACCAAGAGAGGGCAGAGCCTGACCTGCTGCTCTGCCTGTTTGTATTGCAGCTTAAGCGAGAGCTTTTTTATGGTCAAAGGAGCTGCGCTATTCCTGCAGCAAGGAAACAGTCCACAAGGTCCCCCACGGAGTCTCCCGCATTCCCACAAACATGCAGGTAATGTCCCCTCGGCCTCTCCAGGTAACTTGGGAAGAATCAGTTTAGGAAACTCCTCCAGTGGGGAGGAGAAAGGTGGTAAGTGAGGGTGGGCCTCCTGGGAAGCAAAGGGCATTGAATGGTTCCCGCTTGGTTCTTCCAAGAGGAAGGAGGAGATTGGAGGATGGGATCCAGTATCACGGGTAGCGAAGCTTCTGGGTTCAGCTTGGCAGTTCTTACTGGAAGACCCCTATCTTGTTCAGTGGCTACAGAGGGTACCGAGAAGGCCTCTCAAAATGCAATCAGATTGACCATTATGATTGGCCCTCAAGCCTGAAGGGTGAGATGGAAGCGTGACTATTTGGGGAATTGCTGAGTGCCAGAGACGTCTTGGGGATATGGGGTGACGGTTCCAGATTGGATTTGATGTGGGGCCAAGCAAGCTAAGCAAGGACCCAAACTTGTCTTCGTTCAACTACTGCCCTCTGGAGGACATTAAGTTGGGAAGATAAGGTAGCGGAGTCCATACTTTCTATTTCCACTTCAGTCCCATCCTGTCCCCACCCGGGATGTTCTGGAGAAGTTTTGGAAGCATTCCTACCTGGAGACCAAGGATCTCTTCTGCTGTCCTAAATCTATGCTTGGCCCTCAGGAAGTTCTTGTGAAGCCTAAGGATGGCTGGTTAAGGAGGCTTCAGAGAGATCCGAAACAATGGGCAGCAAAAGGAGCATAGTTTTATGACTCTTAATGTTTTCTGAGAGTCATGATAGATCATTCAATAGCGTTTCTCAATCTTGGCAATTTTAAGATGGGTGGACTTCAACTCATAGAATTCCTCACCCAGCTGGAGTTGAAGTCCATCCATCTTCACGTTGCCTAAGCTGAGAAACTGTCATGGAGGATGGACAGGGGAGGAGCGCTCTGTCAGCTGATGCAGCAAAGCAAATTTAGGAGGTGCATCTGATGATTTTGCTGCCTGTGCATCCACAGGTGATTTGCCTCAGCACCTTCAGGTGATGATCAACCTCCTTCGCTGTGAGGACAGAATCAAGCTGGTAAGAGGACTTGCCAGATCCTTGCGGTGGTATAATCCCTTGCCACGGTCCCACTGCAGCAGTGGTCTTTCCCCAGTAGATCAGTCCTTTGTGGAAGGAGTTGCTTGGGAGCACGGAGTAGACCTGTGAAGAGAAAACTATTCCTGTCAATCAAAGTAGAGTTGGAAGCAGGGTATCCCCAACCATCATCTGACTTTAGCCATCAATGCTGAGTGCCCTTGGACTCCAGAAATCAGATATTGTAGTCCAGCCTTCCTCTACCTTCACTGAGATCTCTCTAGACCTGAAGAATGTAGGCTGGTGCCCCATAGGGGTATTGGATCAGAACTCCCACAATTCCCAACTACCCTTCCCCACCTAGTGCTGCCTGGAAGACTGTACGAGATGCGGCCCAACGTATATTTAGAGGGCACCAGGTGGGTTGGAGAGAATTGAATTAAACCCTCTTCTTTTTGTCTTGCCAGAAACATACCTAGCTAAAGTAATACCTAGCTAAAGAGAGGTATGGCCAAAGGGATGAATGCTGAGAACTGCCTTGCTGGTTTTTAGGCCGTGCTCTTAGAAAGTGCGTGGAGCGACCGCGTGAGGTACATGGTGGTGGTCTACAGCACCGGGCGCCAAGACACCGAGGAGAACATTCTCCTGGGCGTGGACTTTTCCAGCAAGGAGAGGTGAGGGGGGAATGCCTGGGGATGCTTGAAGAGCAGGCTGGCTCCCCCACCGTTCTGCCCAGCCAGCAGCCCTGGACCTTCCCTTTCCTCTTTTATGGCAGCCAGAGTTGTACCATTGGGATGGTGCTGCGTCTGTGGAGCGATACGAAGATCCACCTGGATGGAGACGGGTAAGAAACAGGAGGATCTGGAGAGCTGGCAGAGGACAGCCAAGCTGGCGGGGACAAGGCTGTTGTGATCAGTTCCTGGAGGGGACGGGGGATTTGGCCCCTTGTGCAAAGAGTGAGTGAATTACCTGTGAAGAGCCATAGCCTGGCCTGTGTGCGCTGCATCGATTTTTGTCTGTCTCTGATAGTGGGTTTAGCGTCAGCACGGCGGGCAACATGCACATCTTCAAACCTGTCTCGGTGCAAGCCATGTGGTGAGCAACTTCCTGTTTTCCTCTCCTTCTCCTCCTCCTTCTTCCCCAAAGGCTGAAGCCGATTTTTGGCTGCCATCGCAGGGACCCAGATGGTCCTTGGCCAACATCAGCAGCTCTTTTGGCCTTGCAGTGAGCAAGAGGGCTCTGATGCATTTGCTGGTTCAGCCACTGCCCTCTGTGGTGCCCGCTTGACCGGCCCTTTTTCTGCTCGGGGTGCTGGGGCTGAGGGATATCTCTTTGGGTTTCCCCACTCGTAGGTCTGCCTTGCAGATCCTCCACAAGGCTTGCGAGATGGCGCGGAGGCACAACTACTTCCCGGGAGGGATGGCGCTTGTCTGGGCCACCTACTACGAGAGCTGCATCGCTTCCGAGCAGAGTTGCCTCAACGAGTGGAACGCCATGCAGGACCTGGAGTCTCCACGCCCCGACTCGCCTGCGCTCTACATGGACAAGTGGGTTCCTTCCCATTCTTGCTTTGCTAGGACCTTCTGGGCAGAGAAGACAGACCTGGACAATTTTGGGCTGACTTTATTGGTCAAGATGCAGCTGTAGTTGCAAGCCTCTTTCTGCTAAACCTCAGGCCCACCCTCATTTGGAGTATGCGTGGGCACCCAGGCATACCAGAGGTTGTGTTGTGTTGGAGAGAACCAGGTGCTTGGTTGTGGGTCTCTCACCATCCTTGTTCAGTATTTCAGAAGTCCCCTACTTTAACCATTACTCACTTGTGGTTAAACAGCTGTTGGGAGGCTTCTCTGTGGAATCCCAACTGTTTCTGGACTAACCCTCAGCAAGAAGGGGGCACAAAAGCTCACCATTAGTCCCAGCTTGCTGTTATCTTGGGGAAATCTGCAAATACTTTCTTGGAAGGTAGCTGCCTGGGTTTGCAGCCCGCCGCAACTCCCGCCTTCCTTCCTTCCCTTCCAGGCCAACTGAGCGGGAGAGGGCAGAATGGCTGATCAAGGCCAAACTCCGGAGCATCATGATGAGCGAAGATCTGGAGAACGTGACTTCCAAAGAAGTTAGTCCAAGAGCCCGAGGACTCGGGGCTGGGGGCTTCTTTTACCAAAGCTGATCCCTCAGTGTGCCTCTCTCGGCAGATCCGGAACGAGCTGGAGAAGCAGATGAACTGCAACCTGAAAGAATTCAAGGAATTCATTGACAATGAGATGCTACTCATCCTGGGGCAGATGGACAAGCCCTCCCTCATCTTTGATCACCTCTACCTGGTAAGCATCAATGCGCGGGAGAGCTCCCTTAGGAGCACACACACACACCCGTCCCCCGGGCACCATTGCCTGACTCTACTGTGATTCTTCCAGGGCTCTGAATGGAACGCCTCGAACCTGGAGGAGCTTCAGGGCTCCGGGTGAGTTTGACCCAGCTGTGTTGACCTCTTCAGGGGTCTCTAGGCCAGTGACCGGCAGGTGGCCAACAGAATCTCAGATGGCAAAGGCTGAAAAAGACCAGACGGTTCCTGGATCTGTTGTACATTGTACAGAGTTGAATTCATGTACTTCCCCCCCCCCCATGCGATGGACAGCTGAACCTCCTCCACAGGAGAAGCCTCCACAGATGGAGAATATTGGCCCAGAAATTGTAACGTGGATGACCTTGGCAGAGGGAGGGAAGATCTTGAGGGGAGTTATTATTTCTTTATTGGATTTCTACGGCTGCCCATCTCAGCAGACGACTCTGAGCGGCTCGCAGTTCAGTAACATATATTACAATTAAAATCTTAAAAACAGTTTAAGACAATAAGAACTACGAAGACCGTTAAAACCCTAAAGAACATTAAGAGGACTATGAAAATGTCTCCCAGTTCACATGAGTGTAGACAAGGAAAGAGAGGAAGCACCATCAGATGTGTGAGGTTGTGTTTCTAGAGTCAGCCTCAATCAATCGTGTCTCAATAATTTTAGACATAATTTTTAGCTTTTCGGGTGGCGGTGAGTCTGTTTCTTGGTCTGTCTGCTTTTTAAGACGGGCAGAAATTTATCAGCTCAGATGCAAGGTTCAATATACAAGGTTGGGCTGAGTGGTATTGATTTATTAATGGTCCTTTCTTCCTCACCGAGACGCCGCAGTTTTTTCCCTTCCCCTGCTGATCCATCTGTTTCCATCCTTTCAGCGTGGACTACATTTTAAACGTCACCAGGGAGATCGACAATTTCTTCCCGGGATTGTTTGCGTACCACAACATCCGCGTCTATGATGAAGAAACGACCGATCTTCTCGCCCATTGGAACGAGGCTTACCATTTTATCAACAAAGCCAAGTGAGTTTCTGGAAGCGATTCTGCTGGCCTGCATTTCCCTGGTCCGAAGCTGCGACCAGGAAAACCTTCCCCAGAAGGCTGTGCGGCGCCTCTGGGAACGGCTTGCCTCCAAGACTGGGCAACCTGAGGCATCCTGCAGCTAAAGATGGACATTTTGACCAAGTGGTGTCCATCTTCAGCATCTCTAAGACTTGTGGGCTTCATCTCCCAGAATTCCCCAGCTAGTGCTGGCTGGGGAATTCTGGAAATTGAAATCCACAAGTCTTAAAGTTGCCAAGGATGGACACCCTTATTCTAGCCCCTTCCTGCTGTCTCTGCATGTAGGGCCATTTGCAGTGTTGCTGTAAATTAAATATTGGGGGCTGCACCAAAGCCTCCTCATGCAGCTTGGCACAGGGGAGGTGAGATATAAAAGGAGGGCCCGGGTGCTCGAGGACCCCATCCCGGCTCCTGACCCCTTCTAATCCCTCTTCTCTCCCAGGAAAAACCACTCCAAGTGTCTGGTTCACTGCAAGATGGGCGTGAGCCGCTCCGCGTCGACGGTCATTGCCTACGCCATGAAGGAGTTTGGATGGTCCCTGGAGAAAGCCTACAGTTACGTCAGGCAGAAGCGCAGCATCGCTCGGCCCAACGCCGGGTTCATGAGGCAGCTGCTGGAATATCAGGGTATCCTGGATGCCAGGTAAGGTGGCTCTCCCTGGGGGAGGGGGGGAGGGCAGGGGAAGGGTTGGGCCGCACTCTCCCTTGGCCTCCTGCCTTTGAAGTCGGGTTCCTGAGCTCAGAAATGAACTTCTTCGAGAGAAGGATTACTTTTCCGGCGTCCATTCCTGCTGTGGACTGAGCTGCTGCTTATCCGACCGTTGCCGAAGTTCTTCCACCTCCCAAGGCTATTCCCACCGGCCATCCGATCCCCTTTCCTCCCCAGTCCTTCCCGCATTCTTTTGCCCCTTGCTCTTGCAGCCGCTGACCTGGCCCTCTGAATGCAAAACCTCTGTGTCCCAAAGATGCTTTCCCCAAAAGGCAACTTGACTTTCTTGTTTTTTCCTTTGAAAACCCCGAAGAAACTTCTTGGATGAGAAGAGAAACCTTTTGAAAGAAAGTCCAGTTGCCTTTTGGAAGAAAAAGCCCCTTTGGGACCACCAGACCCGAACGATGGAGACTCTCCATAGACACAAAGCCTCTGAGCTGCCCTGGACGTTCCTCCCCTCTGTTTTTCCCCACCCAGCAAACAGCGCCACAACAAGCTCTGGAAACAGCAGCCGGGAGGCGGCCTCCCCCCCAGGGCAGAAAGCCCCGCCGGGCCCAATGATCTCCTGCTCGGCAGCCTGGAGGACATGGACCTGGACCCTCCCGGGGCCCCCATCTGCGCAGACCGCCGAACGCCCCTCGACTCGGTGGGCATCCACTACTGCTTACGGCGCCTCTCCAACTCCTTGCTGGCCCCCCGCGAGCCGTGTCTGCAGCTGGAGGACCTGGAGGCAGACGCCATGCTGGAGGAGGCCGGCTCTGCCGCCAGGGACCTGCTGGGCCAGCTGCAGGCAGGAATGCCGGAGATCAGTGCAGACCCCCAGGGCCACCAGAAACCCGAGGCGGTTCCTCGGGTGCCGGTCTCCGAGGAGGAGAAGCCCACCGAACGATGGAAGCGGCGGTCGCTCCAAGAGGAGGGCAGGCACAACTGCGAGAACCTGAATAACAACAACAGTAAGAGGAGCTGCCCGGATGACTTTGAAGTAAGGGCAGGACTGAGCTTGGCCGGGTCTGTTTTGGGGGGAGGGTCTTGGGGCCCCAGGGTCTGGTCCCCCTCTTGACCACCAAGGCTTACTTTGAGTTCCTCCTTGTCCAGAGGGCCCAACCCACCTGGCTGGGCCCTTTTCCTTTGAGGAAGGCCCTTCTCCTTCTCTCCAAGGACTGGATGGAGAAGCGTTTCTACTTCCTTTCATCCTCTCTTTTCTCCTTTCCAGCATGAAGCCCTGTTCGGGGTCCTCAACAAAGTCAGCCCCCCCTACAAATCTTGCACTGACTGCATGTATCCCTTGGGTGGGTCCCCTCCTGAAGCCTTCGGAGATGCCCTGGAGGTCCTGCCAGCGGAGCCCCCTTGCCACCGTGCCACCATCTGCACCCAGCCCTCCTTCCCAGCGTTTCTGGAGCAGGCCTCTTGCAAGTCTCCTCTGAAGGAATCCCAGGGACCGAGAGCCAACAGTTTGCTCCCAATGGTCGTGGGAAACGAGGTGCAGGACGTTAGTCCTGATCGGCCAGCTTCAGGGTGGCCCTGTGGCCCTTCTGAAAAGCCCAGGGAGGCCCCTAAAGCCCCAGGAGGTGCCTCACTTGGCTCAAGACAGTCTCTCTGTGAGAGAAGCCCAGTCTTCAACCACGGGCTGAAGCATGACTCTTCTCCAAGAAAAGATGCCCGGCAGACAAAGGACCTGAAGCACTTGCTCTTCAGCAAAGATGTGGAGAAGCCAACCACAAACAGTTACCTGATGCAGCATCAGGAGTCTCTTCTTCAGCTCCAGAAAGCTGGCTTGGTCCGTAAGCACACGAAGGAACTGGAGCGCCTCAAGGCCCCGCCATCCGACACAGCCGGGCCGGGCAAGGAGTGTTCCGGAGGCCCAACCGACGTTGTGACTATCTTGGAAGAGGAGCCCCAGGAGATGGTTGTGGTCGGGGGTCAACTGCAGCCCTCGTCTCAGGATGTCTCGGAGAAGCTCCCGAAGGCCCTTCTTGCTGCTGGAGCCTCCCAGAAGACCTCCACGCCCGTCCCCTCCAAGGTGGACCACATGAGTACCTTCACAAAGGACTTCCTGAAGACCATCTCCTACACCCCGTCCTCTTCTCGGAGTTCCAACCTCACTCGGAGTTCCAGCAGTGACAGCATCCACAGCATCCATGGGAAGCCCGGGCTGGTGAAACAGCGGACGCAGGAGATCGAAACCCGGCTGCGTCTGGCCGGCTTGACTATCTCCTCTCCGCTGAAGCGCTCCAACTCTCTGGCCAAGCTGGGCAGCCTCGACCTGGCCTCCGAGGACCTCACGGGCGAGGCGGACCTATCGCCCTTGACCCGCCCGAGGGAGGCCATGCCGAGCGAGTCTCCAGCCCTTTGCAGCCTCCTCTCCTGGAGGAACACGGAAGACGGACTGCAGCCCTCGGCAAAGGGGACCCTGGGGAAGCCGAAGCACACACCCCGGATGGGAGAAAGCTGACACCTTTGCAGTGTTGGTTTTTTAATGGTTACTTTTAGTCTCGCCCGTATTAAATGCAATTTTATCTTGTTGAAAAAAAGACAGTTGCCTTGCACTTCTCAGGTGGCCCTTCAAGCACAGTGGCAGCAGAGGAGGGACAAGGCGAGCGGCCCAAGGAGCAGGCGCAGGGCCCTTGGGCATCCCTCACGGCCTCCTCTTGGCTTTCATCGGGCAGTGTCCTGGCTGGATTCTTTCCTTCCATGCCAAAAAAATTCCAAAAAAGCCCAGAGATTTGCTTGGAAGGTCAATCCAAGTGTTACTCTCCCTCTTTAAGAGGCCCTTGTGCGAGGACCCAAAGGGGACACAAATGCTACCTCCGTTTTTCAGATCTTCATACCGTAGATAGATAGACAGACACCTCTGCGTGTGTGTGTGTGTTTAGTTAGGATTTTTCAAAGTTCTTCCTCTGCAACTGATTTTTTTTTTGAAGGAAAAAATAGTCCTAGGTCAATAGGATTATAGCCCTGGCCTCGTGGCTCACTCAACGCACCTGAAAAGACAGTATTTCAGGGAGAAAGCATTTTTGCTAGCCATTGCCAGGCTGAATATGCTGGCCAGGATCCCCATCTGAACTGACCAGTTGCTGGCAAGGATGTCACTTTCCCTCCAGACTTGATAGTTTTGTTTGGGGGTCTTGGTTCTCCTTTCCTTCTGCTGTACCCGTCACATGTAGGAGATGTTTACTGTTTCTCCTGATCCCGTTGAAAACTGTAAATTTCATTGTCATGTTACCAAGTGAGGTAGGATCAGTAATGTATGTTTCCTGGGGCATTAAACACTTTTGTTGATAAATCAGAATATGGCATGTTTATTACCTATAAACCAAAATAGCGTAGTTCGAACCTCAAAGGAAGGTCTGTTTTCCTGAATGCCCATGGTTAGTAGAAGCTGTAGTGCTGGTAAGAAGAGACTGTCCAGAAATGGAATCCTTTCATGTCAGACACCTTTTAACTGTAATGATACGATAAATAATTTTGTTATCCTTAAGTTCTGAGACACCTGGGTGATGTATAAACTTTTCAGGTTCAATTTCTCTCCTTTTCCAGAGAATTACCTTTGAAGAATTGATTGCACGGGGCAAAATGTCCCCTAACATTTAATTCCCCATATATATTTTTTTTACCACTGGAAGATTGTTGTCCTATTTAATGAACAGTGACATCCTAGATACTTTATCTCAACTCCATGTTATCCTTCGAAAAAACAAAAACAAAGAGTTGTTTAAGCCACAAGGAAATATTGCTCACCTAGCATGCAGAAATCAGATCACCCCCCCTCCCTGAAGCTGGAAAAGTTTGATGCATAAAATGGTCTGTTTTTCCATATATTGATGATTTTTTTTTTAACTAATAAGAGTGCCTTGCCTAGTGTTTACAAATACTGTATATCTCTGTGAAAGACTTGTTCTGCTTGATTTCTGGTGTTTGTGATATGCTGTCAATACAACTCTGTGCCTAATAATGTTTTTTTACACATCCTGTGGGGTTGGTCTTGTCCTCTGCCTCTAGATATTTTGGACTACTACACCCATCAACCCATGTTGGCTGGGGAATTCTGGAAGTTGAAGTCCGCATGTCTTAAAATTGCCAACGTTGAGGAATATTGCCCATTATCCAAAGGCAGCCTAGCCAGAAACCACAGTAGCCCCAAACCTACGAAGGGCATCAGATTGTGGAAGACTCAACTTTGCCCATGGAGAAGTTGTCAGAAAAGGTTTTGGGGTGTTATTAAAATCAAGTGAAGCAGATTCTCTTGGCACATTACACAGTAGTTGGATTAATTATGCAGCCTCAGCTTCCTGTAAGTTGTTTGTAGAAAGACACTTAAAAAACAGAAAATGAAAGGTAGACTCCACAGGGCTGCAGAAAGGGATAAATTTCAGAGAAGGTTCTGGAGTCTCTTGACGCTGATTTGACAGGTGGAACCAAATGCTAAAACCNAAAGCTGATCCCTCAGTGTGCCTCTCTCGGCAGATCCGGAACGAGCTGGAGAAGCAGATGAACTGCAACCTGAAAGAATTCAAGGAATTCATTGACAATGAGATGCTACTCATCCTGGGGCAGATGGACAAGCCCTCCCTCATCTTTGATCACCTCTACCTGGTAAGCATCAATGCGCGGGAGAGCTCCCTTAGGAGCATACACACACACCCCATCCCCCGGGTACCATTGCCTGACTCTGCTGTGATTCTTCCAGGGCTCTGAATGGAACGCCTCAAACCTGGAGGAGCTTCAGGGCTCCGGGTGAGTTTGACCCAGCTGTGTTGACCTCTTCAGGGGTCTCTAGGCCAGTGACCGGCAGGTGGCCGGCAGAATCTCAGATGGCAAAGGCTGAAAAAGACCAGATGGTTCCTGGATCTGTTGTACATTGTACAGAGTTGAATTCATGTACTTCCCCCCCCCCCCCGTGCGATGGACAGCTGAACCTCCTCCACGGGAGAAGCCTCCACAGATGGAGAATATTGGCCCAGAAATTGTAACGTGGATGACCTTGGCAGAGGGAGGGAAGATCTTGAGGGGAGTTATTATTTCTTTATTGGATTTCTACAGCTGCCCATCTCAGCAGACGACTCTGAGCGGCTCGCAGTTCAGTAACATATATTACAATTAAAATCTTAAAAACAGTTTAAGACAAGAAGAACTACGAAGACCGTTAAAACCCTAAAAAACATTAAGATGACTATGAAAATGTCTCCCAATTCACATGAGTGTAGACAAGGGAAGAGAGGAAGCACCATCAGATGTGTGAGGTTGTGTTTCTAGAGTCAGCCTCAATCAATCGTGTCTCAATAATTTTAGACATAATTTTTAGCTTTTCGGGTGGCGGTGAGTCTGTTTCTTGGTCTGTCTGCTTTTTAAGACGGGCAGAAATTTATCAGCTCAGATGCAAGGTTCAATATACAAGGTTGGGCTGAGTGGTATTGATTTATTAATGGCCCTTTCTTCCTCACCGAGACGCCGCAGTTTCTTCCCTTCCCCTGCTGATCCATCTGTTTCCATCCTTTCAGCGTGGACTACATTTTAAACGTCACCAGGGAGATCGACAATTTCTTCCCGGGGTTGTTTGCGTACCACAACATCCGCGTCTATGATGAAGAAACGACCGATCTTCTCGCCCACTGGAACGAGGCTTACCATTTTATCAACAAAGCCAAGTGAGTTTCTGGAAGCGATTCTGCTGGCCTGCATTTCCCTGGTCCAAAGCTGCAACCAGGAAAACCTTCCCCAGAAGGCTGTGCGGGGCAAGCTGAGGCATCCTGCAGCTAAAGATGGTCATTTTGACCAAGTGGTGTCCATCTTCAGCATCTCTAAGACTTGTGGGCTTCATCTCCCAGAATTCCCCAGCTAGTGCTGGCTGGGGAATTCTGGAAATTGAAATCCACAAGTCTTAAAGTTGCCAAGGATGGACACCCTTATTCTAGCCCCTTCCCGCTGTCTCTGCAAGTAGGGCCATTTGCTGTGTTGCTGTAAATTAAATATTGGGGGCTGCCCCAAAGCCTCCTCACGCAGCCTTGGCACAGGGGAGGTGAGATATAAAAGGAGGGCCCGGGTGCTTGAGGACCCCATCCCGGCTCCTGACCCCTTCTAATCCTTCTTCTCTCCCAGGAAAAACCACTCCAAGTGTCTGGTTCACTGCAAGATGGGCGTGAGCCGCTCCGCGTCGACGGTCATTGCCTACGCCATGAAGGAGTTTGGATGGTCCCTGGAGAAAGCCTACAGTTACGTCAGGCAGAAGCGCAGCATCGCTCGGCCCAACGCCGGGTTCATGAGGCAGCTGCTGGAATATCAGGGTATCCTGGATGCCAGGTAAGGTGGCTCTCCCTGGGGGTGGGGGGGGAGGGCAGGGGAAGGGTTGGGCCGCACTCTCCCTTGGCCTCCTGCCTTTGAAGTCGGGTTCCTGAGTTCAGAAATGAACTTCTTCGAGAGAAGGATTACTTTTCCGGCTTCCATTCCTGCTGTGGACTGAGCTGCTGCTTATCCGACCGTTGTCGAAGTTCTTCCACCTCCCAAGGCTATTCCCACCGGCCATCCGATCCCCTTTCCTCCCCAGTCCTTCCCGCATTCTTTTGCCCCTTGCTCTTGCAGCCGCTGACCTGGCCCTCTGAATGCAAAACCTCTGTGTCCGAAAGATGCTTTCCCCAAAAGGCAACTTGACTTTCTTGTTTTTTCCTTTGAAAACCCCGAAGAAACTTCTTGGATGAGAAGAGAAACCTTTTGAAAGAAAGTCCAGTTGCCTTTTGGAAGAAAAAGCCCCTTTGGGACCACCAGACCCGAACGATGGAGACTCTCCATAGACACAAAGCCTCTGAGCTGCCCTGGACGTTCCTCCCCTCTGTTTTTCCCCACCCAGCAAACAGCGCCACAACAAGCTCTGGAAACAGCAGCCGGGAGGCGGCCTCCCCCCCAGGGCAGAAAGCCCCGCCGGGCCCAATGATCTCCTGCTCGGCAGCCTGGAGGACATGGACCTGGACCCTCCCGGGCCCCCCATCTGCGCAGACCGCCGAACGCCCCTCGACTCGGTGGGCATCCACTACTGCTTACGGCGCCTCTCCAACTCCTTGCTGGCCCCCCGCGAGCCGTGTCTGCAGCTGGAGGACCTGGAGGCAGACGCCATGCTGGAGGATGCCGGCTCTGCCGCCAGGGACCTGCTGGGCCAGCTGCAGGCAGGAATGCCGGAGATCAGTGCAGACCCCCAGGGCCACCAGAAACCCGAGGCGGTTCCTCGGGTGCCGGTCTCCGAGGAGGAGAAGCCCACCGAACGATGGAAGCGGCGGTCGCTCCAAGAGGAGGGCAGGCACAACTGCGAGAACCTGAATAACAACAACAGTAAGAGGAGCTGCCCGGATGACTTTGAAGTAAGGGCAGGACTGAGCTTGGCCGGGTCTGTTTTGGGGGGAGGGTCTTGGGGCCCCAGGGTCTGGTCCCCCTCTTGACCACCAAGAGTTCCTCCTTGTCCAGAGGGCCCAACCCACCTGGCTGGGCCCTTTTCCTTTGAGGAAGGCCCTTCTCCTTCTCTCCAAGGACTGGATGGAGAAGTGTTTCTACTTCCTTTCATCCTCTCTTTTCTCCTTTCCAGCATGAAGCCCTGTTCGGGGTCCTCAACAAAGTCAGCCCCCCCTACAAATCTTGCACTGACTGCATGTATCCCTTGGGTGGGTCCCCTCCTGAAGCCTTCGGAGATGCCCTGGAGGTCCTGCCAGCGGAGCCCCCTTGCCACCGTGCCACCATCTGCACCCAGCCCTCCTTCCCAGCGTTTCTGGAGCAGGCCTCTTGCAAGTCTCCTCTGAAGGAATCCCAGGGACCGAGAGCCAACAGTTTGCTCCTGGTGGTTGTGGGAAACGAGGTGCAGGACGTCAGTCCTGATCGGCCAGCTTCAGGGTGGCCCTGTGGCCCTTCTGAAAAGCCCAGGGAGGCCCCTAAAGCCCCAGGAGGTGCCTCGCTTGGCTCAAGACAGTCTCTCTGTGAGAGAAGCCCAGTCTTCAACCACGGGCTGAAGCATGACTCTTCTCCAAGAAAAGATGCCCGGCAGACAAAGGACCTGAAGCACTTGCTCTTCAGCAAAGATGTGGAGAAGCCAACCACAAACAGTTACCTGATGCAGCATCAGGAGTCTCTTCTTCAGCTCCAGAAAGCTGGCTTGGTCCGTAAGCACACGAAGGAACTGGAGCGCCTCAAGGCCCCGCCGTCCGACACAGCCGGGCCGGGCAAGGAGTGTTCCGGAGGCCCATCCGACGTTGTGACTATCTTGGAAGAGGAGCCCCAGGAGATGGTTGTGGTCGGGGGTCAACTGCAGCCCTCATCTCAGGATGTCTCGGAGAAGCTCCCAAAGGCCCTTCTTGCTGCTGGAGCCTCCCAGAAGACCTCCACGCCCGTCCCCTCCAAGGTGGACCACATGAGTACCTTCACAAAGGACTTCCTGAAGACCATCTCCTACACCCCGTCCTCTTCTCGGAGTTCCAACCTCACTCGGAGTTCCAGCAGTGACAGCATCCACAGCATCCACGGGAAGCCCGGGCTGGTGAAACAGCGGACGCAGGAGATTGAAACCCGGCTGCGACTGGCCGGCTTGACTATCTCCTCTCCGCTGAAGCGCTCCAACTCTCTGGCCAAGCTGGGCAGCCTCGACCTGGCCTCCGAGGACCTCACGGGCGAGGCGGACCTATCGCCCTTGACCCGCCCGAGGGAGGCCCTGCCGAGCGAGTCTCCAGCCCTTTGCAGCCTCCTCTCCTGGAGGAACACGGAAGACAGACTGCAGCCCTCGGCAAAGGGGACCCTGGGGAAGCCGAAGCACACCCCCCGGATGGGAGAAAGCTGACACCTTTGCAGTGTTGGTTTTTTAATGGTTACTTTTAGTCTCGCCCGTATTAAATGCAATTTTATCTTGTTGAAAAAAAGACAGTTGCCTTGCACTTCTCAGGTGGCCCTTCAAGCACAGTGGCAGCAGAGGAGGGACAAGGCGAGCGGCCCGAGGAGAAGGCGCAGGGCCCTTGGGCATCCCTCACGGCCTCCTCTTGGCTTTCATCGGGCAGTGTCCTGGCTGGATTCTTTCCTTCCATGCCAAAAAAATTCCAAAAGAGCCCAGAGATTTGCTTGGAAGGTCAATTCAAGTGTTACTCTCCCTCTTTAAGAGGCCCTTGTGCGAGGACCCAAAGGGGACACAAATGCTACCTCCGTTTTTCAGATCTTCATATCGTAGATAGATAGACAGACACCTCTGCGTGTGTGTGTGTGTGTGTGTAGTTAGGATTTTTCAAAGTTCTTCCTCTGCAACTGATTTTTTTTTCCAAAGGAAAAAATAGTCCTAGGTCAATAGGATTATAGCCCTGGCCTCGTGGCTCACTCAACGCACCTGAAAAGACAGTATTTCAGGGAGAAAGCATTTTTGCTAGCCATTGCCAGACTGAATATGCTGGCCAGGATCCCCATCTGAACTGACCAGTTGCTGGCAAGGATGTCACTTTCCCTTGATAGTTTTGTTTGGGGGTCTTGGTTCTCCTTTCCTTCTGCTGTACCCGTCACATATAGGAGATGTTTACTGTTTCTCCTGATCCCGTTGAAAACTGTAAATTTCATTGTCATGTTACCAAGTGAGGTAGGATCAGTAATGTATGTTTCCTGGGGCATTAAACACTTTTGTTGATAAATCAGAATATTATTATTATTATTATTATTATTATTATTATTATTATTATTATTATTATTATTATTATTATTATTATTATTATTATTATTATTATTATTATTATTATTATTATTTTAATTTCTATACCGCCCTTCTCCCGCAGGACTCAGGGCGGTGCACAGCATATTAAAACAGATACACATATCAATAAAAATAAAAACCCCTCT